GCGTGCGAAATCAGCGACCATATTTTGCGTGGAATAATGCTAAAGCAAACCGCATGAAAACTCGAAAACACGCGTTTTCTTAGACATAAGACTGATCTAGATCGATTTTTCGCCCCCCAAAACCTTCACATACCAAATTTCAGCGAAATCGTTAGAGCCGTTTCCGAGATTGCCGGTATAAATAGATAAACTAGAATTGCTCGTTTGAATATATTAGATATCGTCTGTAATTGCCTGAATAATATTACATTTAAAAGTACAATACTTTATCAAATAAAATATTAAGTACTTTTTGGTAATACAAGATAATCTGATCATTACTTTATTACTTAAATGATTGAAAATATATATATGATAAATGTCTTCAAAACGAGACGATATTTTCAAGTATATAATAAGTATTTAATCCCTAAACAATATAAAATATATCTGTATGTATGTCTGTCTGTCTTTAACTATAGATTTAGATTAAATTCTTCGGAAAAGTTTATATATAATATTATATATAAAATAATAAATAAATCAATGACAAGAATTTAAGCAAAACGAGGGCGGATAACTAGGTAATATTTTTGTATCATCACTTCTAACTTTTAACAATAGAGTATCAAATAACAAAAAACGATAAGATAGACAAATTTTTATCGATGCAAATGGCATACATTTGAAGCAAAAACAATATTATATTACGCCTATTGAAATAAAACATAAGTAGGTACTGCAACGAAGCAAGACACGCAGATATCGAATAGCGTTGGAGAGTCATCGAACCAAATATTGATAAGCTCGCCCTACTAATTTGTTAACGTCAATATATTTATATTTAATCTAGCTGCCATATAGCAGATCACACATATATATATATATATATATATATATATATATATATATATATATGTGATATAATTTTTTATGAACTTATATTTCTATGTTAGTTTCATCACAAATGGTCTATCAATAAGCTTAAGTGTCTACCGAAATATTTTGTAAGGACTAATGTTTTGCACATTTCCTTTGATAATGAAAATCAACGACATGTACCTATATGAGAACGATATTACTTACAATCTGTATTAACACTTAACAAGACGGGTATTTACGCTTTAATACAATAATTTTTTTATATATAAGTACATATTCTTTATCTTTCCTTAGTTTGTGGTTAGAATTTATAAAAAAACTAGCGACTAATTCGTATAGATCTCTCATAGATTTGATATTTTCCCGCAGTAAAAAGTATCCTATATGTTGACCCAAATAACCAGCTATCATCATACTAAATCCCATCAAAATCTGTCCAGTGGTTTCCTCGTGATGCGTACCCAGACAGACAGACAGACAGACAGACAGACAGACAGACAGACAGACAAACAGACAGACAGACAGACATACAGACAAAAATTCTAAAAACCATATACCTCTGTAATGATAATAATGACTATTTCAATAAGATTTTCCAAAAAATATTTAATGTACAGATTCGACTCAGAATTTTTTATAGGTAACAAATTGCTGAGTAATTTACATATACATGTAATCTACGTGATATACGCACATTGCCAGAAACGTGCTATAGTATATTTGCACAAATTATATCTAAACGTTGCAGTTGAACAAGTTATATATAACCAAGTATTAAAACTCCAAAGTCCAAGATAACAAACAGCAGTTATAACTTAAATCTCTATAATTATTACGAGTCATCTGTAAATAATACTCGAGTTTGCTATTGACTCTACATGAAGCCGAACGTGGAAGAGGCACGTAAGCACAGTAGAGGATAATTATATTTGAACTAACGACAAACTAAAAACTATTTTAAGGAGGAAAATGCTAATTTTAAATGGTTTTCTGGTACTGTAAGTGTACGAGTGAATTTTAAAATATAATAACATATGCAGTTATATGGAAGTTGCTGGAAGAATTAGTAGGAAGCCTGTAATACAGTTCGGAATCCATGCATTTCTATACTAATATTATAAAAAGGTAAATAAAGGAAAATGTGAGTTTGTGACGTTGTAGGAGGTAATGCCGGGGCGCCGTAGTAGTTATGCGCAAGCGATCCTGCGGCGTCCCATTAAGGCGGAGGGGAGGGGATAAAAAAAAAAGGTAATCTCTGGATCTACTGAACCGACTCTTTATCCCAGAAATCATGCCTTAAGAGGGTGAAAATAGGGATGAAATTTTGTATTGGGTATCAAGCTAGAGACGAACCCAGCGAAGCGAGAGTCGCTGGCACCTCCAGGTAAATTTCTAAGAAATTAATTAAATTTCTAAGAAATCTATTGTTAACTGTAACGCCGGCGTGTCTGCGGTCGTAGAGGGACTAGTATTATATAAAGATGAAAGTATAAGAAAGATGGTCAGCTTACGAAGTCATAGGTTTGAGGACCCCTCGACGAGTTCGATCTCTTCTGGTTGCCCGCAAGGGTATAGCATGAAAGGATATTATTATGTGTAATATAATTTAAACACTATTTTAGATGTGTAAATAAAAATTTCAGACAAAAAATATATAATTATGAATACATTTAATAATTTTTAAATAAAACTAACTTTTCGGATTATTTCGCGGATTTATTTTGATTTTTGGTTCCCGACGTTTCGAATGCTTTACAGCATCCATGGTCACGGGAGAGACTTGAGGTGTTACATGTCTTGAAGGTATAGTTGTTACAGAACGGGAACCAAAAATCAAAATAAATCTGCGAAATAATCAGAAAATATAGTTTTATTTAAAAATGTCAAACATTCGCGTAAATCTAAGAAAGTATTACATTTAATAAAATGAAAATACAAAATATGTAAAATACTTGAACTATTGAATACTTTATTAACCCCCGACGCAAATAGAGGGATGTTATAAATTTAACGTCAATGTGTGTGTGTGTGTGTGTGTGTGTCTGTCTGTGGCATCGTAGCTCTCAAACGGATGGACCGATTTCGATGCGGTATTTTTCATTCGAAAGCCAGTTTCCTTGCGGTGGTTCTTAGCTATGTTTGGTTAATATCGGTCCAGCGGTGTAAGAGTATCAGCTCTTTTCTAAAATGATGTAAGGCATTTTGGCGTATGAATACTCGATTAAGTGCTTCACACGACAATTATTTTGCGTAGGGGGTTTTTAAAATTTTAAATTTATAATTATTGATAAAACTATTCACTGTAGTTATTAAGAGGGCAAATTAAACCAATATCGCTTGACCTCTCATCGTTATACTCCGTCATACAAATCTTAGTTCACGATACGTTGGTTTCACATAACAACCTGTTCAAACAGAAGTATAGTCATAGATCTGTGTATACTATTTGTGTTGTATAGTTTATTTATTCGAGACAATCCTGCCTTTGTGACGGTCAAGGTCGATCGATATCGTAATTCGTTTATCTGAGGTGACCTTCAAGTATTATGTTATCACATCCGCCACAATCTGACTAGAAAAAAAAAACAATTTAATTCCTGTTACTACGAACATATTACCTTACTTTTTTTATTTAACGAAATTAAAAAAAAAAACGAAATATTTTTATTCAGCACTACCCGCTCACTCTCGCTTCGCGCGGGTTCGTCGCTAAATAGATATAAATATTATATAGTTATTAGCCAGCGTTAGCCATATTTTTTTCGTTATTTTTTTGATGTTTTAGTACTTATTATCCTATTCCGGACTAAGACAAATCTAAAAAAATAAAATCAAGACAAATCTAAAAAATGAAAATCATCAAAATTGGTTTAGCCGTTCTCGAGTTAAAAATGGTTAGCTGAATTGGTCGAGAGTTCTCGAGTTTTGCGTTTTTATATAGGTTAAATTATTACAATTGTTTACTGAACGTGATGAGTCTACTACCAGTTCGGAAAGAAGAAGCCTCAGACCTGAGAAGAACTTGGTAACGGCCAATATAATAAATATAACCTTTTGATTATTTAGAAGTATGACGAATAATATTTGACTACTACGATGCTTTTATCAATGTTTTTATCTGTTTGGGACCAAACATAGATAAATAGGTCATTATATTTGACCATCAGAGTATAAAATACTCTCATTCCAATCTGCACTATAGTATCAATGTAGAGACAACATGTAAATCTGGCAATAAATCTATACTTATATTATAAAGAGCTAGAGTTTGTTTGTTTGATTGAACACGCTAATCTCAGGAACTAGTTTGATGACTCAGGAAATAATTTGAAAAATTCTTTTTGCATTAGATAGCCCGTTCATTGAGGAAGACCACGGTAATGTAATATGTAATATTACCTTAGGAAGACTATAGGTTATATATTATATAATATATATATACATATATATATATGTGTGTGTGTGTGTATGTATATACATATATATATGTATAGTCCATCTATTCTATACTAACCATTTATTATATTATACATATTATGAAAATCTTAAGTTTTTTACAACGAGACGCCTATTCCATTAGCTCATTTTGATACCTATAGCATAAAAAACTTGTAAACAGGTTTCTGAACTACGTTGGTTATAAAGCCACGTATGGATAGTTTCTAGAACTCCATAAATCAATTTCATTTACAATCATCTAATTACGTAAAAGCCATTAAAATTTATTGGAAAAATTACTATAAAGTCGATTTATAAAGTATATTGAGTACAAAAGAAAGTTAACTGACTTTAACTGAAATTATATAATTATAATGGATATATGATAGAACAAATATATCGTAATTAGACTCTACATCTATACATTGTTGTTAATCATAGTACAAAGGTAAGTCGCATCCATATTTAATTATATTTTAAATTATATAATAATATAGTAAAATTTGTTAATTTAATATAAGTGTAAATGTAGCTAGCATCAATTAACACTTGTGTGGTGATATCTGGAACTTTCCACTAATCGAAACTCGTTGTTGTTTTGATTCTGGTTTAAGTTACCAGACACCTATAGATTATAATAACTACCCACGTACTTCTGTTAGTTACTAGCTCTATGACCCCGCTGTCCTCATTTCAGGCAAATGTATGCAATCAACAGTCCTTCCAATAGCGCCGTTCTAAATACAGCCATCTCCAGAGGAGGTTTGTTAAACCGTATGTTAACACCAAGTTAAGGTGCTTAAAATGGATGCACAAGCCATTTACGATGTAGTTCTGTCGTGTTTATACGATAGTATTGGACATCTGCTAACGTTGTCCTTATATAGGTTTACAATTATAGCGCATTGTAGAGATCATAGAGACATTGTATCGCGTCCTAGTTACTCTCCAACTCTCCCACAGTTACATGTAAAAGTTGCACTTATTCTAGACTTACCGACGAACCGAGTGAGAGAACAAGGAGAGTTTCGTTCCAACTCTACGTACAACAGCGACATTGATCACTAAATAAGTATATCTAGTTATGGTATCCTACAGCGTGGTGTCCCCGCGCCGCGCTAGCACGAGGCGGGCAACGCCACGTCACATGACAGTATATCAAATCCAAATATACCTTGAAACAACGTCTATCAAGACTTCCCCCGATGGCGCCGACCACACCATACTACACTAGAACACTGCACTATGAATCCACCTATAGAACACCATCACACATATACGTTCCCGAATGATAACGCGGCCAAACAAAAAAAAACGGGGGTCCTAAGAAGGTCGTGGTATTTTTTTGTTGAGAGTTGGCAACGCCGCGCCGGTGGCCGGACGGACGCGCGTTCAGTCCGCGCGGCTCTCATTGGCCGAGTGAGGCGGCGGCCATCGCGGCGCGCCACGCGCTCGTCCAATCGCGCCTCGTCCCGCTCGCCCCGCCCACATCCTGGCGTCCTGTTGAATGAGCGCCGCGGCAGTCGCGCTCGGGACGTCGCACGAGTCACACGCCCCGGAACATGTCACATGTCGAGTGTTTGTGCTCTACTGACACCGATAAGATGATATGAATCTACCAACCAGTGCACGTATGTTTAGGGTCTACAGCTACTTCATGTAAGAATAATAAGTATATGAAAAAAGCATTTTAACAATTAAGTGTTTACGACTAAATCTATCAATCAACAAGTGAACAAACCGGTAAGGGTTACTGGAAATGTGCATGACGATAGATAGACAGAAATACAGTTTAGTCGATAATAATAAACAAATTACCTAAGATAACAAATGAACAATCACTACTTTCGAACGTACAAACTTCAATATTTTTCGACATCTCAGACGAATGAGGTTCGTTACCTGAAAAGAAAAAAGATAATCATTAGTTTATAATGTTTTAAGGAATTTACTAATAATATTCTAAAATAAAAATTAAGTGTATAACATTTAGAATAATAATTTCCTATAATCAATTTTCCTTAATAATTTTTTTTTCTTAAAATATGCTTTCATGGTTTTATGAAATTAACATAGTGTTGACGAGAAATGAATAAGGTTTTTTTTTTAGTTTTATCAAACAAGTAAAAGTGACTTGTGGCTGAGTTTTTATATAGTAAACATTTATTTTATAACATAATAATTACATTTTACATATATAACTTATTATATAATAAGAAATTGTACAACATAAGCCCTACATTATACAATATTATATTCCACCAACTAAATCCACTACGAACTAGAATTATTATCGGGACACTAACGACAGCGTTAGCTAGATATGCCACATAAATTACGTCGAAATGATATATCTGTGGTATGCCATTATCTACAAGATATTCAAAGTACAGTGCGGGCGGAAATCTACATTTAGAAGAAAAAACACTTGTGTAGGCGTGTGGTACGATTCTGAGGAATGCGACAGAATCGAGGTGCGCTCACGCATGACGTTTACACACACGTGGACACATTTCTGTAGGAATTCACGTAGTGAAGAACTATACATACTATAAAAATATCTTAAATATATATATATATATATATATATATATTAATATATATATATATATATTTCATACTATATTATTAACAAGTGTCTACATATATTCATAAAACTCTATTTCTAATGATGTTATAGTCCCCATGGATCAAATATATATGGTTTTTTTTTTTACTTCTAAACTACCCTAACATTTTAAAGTGGCTAAAATCTGATATTTATTTTGAAGATTCGTACAAATAAAAAAAAAACTTATTTTGAATCAAACATACTAAATATTTTAGATGTTCATATCAAAATATCATACATATTTAATAAGTTGTATAAATTAAAACACTAATCTACATCGGTACATTTAGAAGAACTTTTTAATAAGGTTAGAGCTAGTAACTTGGTAAGTAAGAAAAAATATATGACACGATGAAACAGACATATTTATAATTGAAATAAGAGCATAATATTTACATAGTATAAGCAGTCCTTGGTAACGTTTCGTAAACGAAGAAAAGAATTTTAAGAAGATAATGCTAAAATTATGATTTTCTACTTTCTAGCGACATGTAGAGTATTAAAATAAAAATTCTCGCGACTCTACAATAAATATACTTTTAAAATCTTTCAGATTGTTTTCTAATGAACTCTACAAAAAGTAAATAATGAATTGAGCATAAATATGTGCATATTTATTGTAAAAAAACAACAAAAATCCACACTGTAGGTACCTCATTTACTACAATATCATACAAAAAAAAACAGGAAAAATATTTGTCTGTCGAATTATCACAAAAACTTGATAAATCACATTCGATATAATTATAACAAATTTGTAATTACGAGAGCCTTATAAGTGACTAGTGACGTACTCCTGCTTCGTACGATTGCGTCCTAGGTACTTTTAATTTTTTTTGAACAGCTCCCTTATTCTTTTTTTCTAAAATAAAAGTAGCCCAAGTTTCTCCTTATAACATCAGTTATCTGCCAGCGTTTCGTAGATTAGCCGGGACAAACAGACGCAAAAAGTTGAAAAATTGCGTTTGTCTATAAAATACCGTATATATGATGATGATGTTCTCCCAGCCTATTCCGGCCACGGCGGCCAATCCCATTGAGACTAGCCAACTGCGCAGGAGATATTATAGTGCACAAGTGTACGCGCAGACACAACGTGCACTCTCTATTTCTGTCACTCTCATACTCCGGTGGGACGACTGCTCGACACGACCAGTGAGAGTTAAGGTTATATATATATAATTTCATAGGCATTTAGTGAAAATCTATTATTTTGACACAGACACTCCAATTTTATTTATATGTCTAAATTGCTAGAATTTTTTAGATCCATATTCTATGAATACAATAAACAATATAATTAACAATACAACAAAACAATCAGTCATTACACGGTCCAGTCATTAGGTCTTGTTATAGTCGATCATTAATTAATTAAAATAGTACAAAGCAGAGATAACTTGATGCTAATTAACCAATGAAACGCATTATATCGTGATTTAGTCCATTTCAATATTTTATTATGGACCTAATTGTAGTATAGAAAAACGAATCATTATGTTGATTTTATTATATAATCGTTTTATATTACCTTAATAGGATAAGAAAGCCAATTACTATTGTAGAGAAATCAATACATATTTAAAACCTATAATAATATTATAACTGCAAAAGTAACTCTGTCTGTCTGTCTCACCTTTTCACTCTTAACCGCTGAATCGATTTAGATGAATATATAGTTTGAGGCCATGGGAAGGACATAAAACAGTTTTTATCCCGGAAATCGTCCGTTTAGGGGGGAAGTTAATGGGGAATCAGTGATTTCTCAAAGGGGTATACAAAACTCATCATACTATGTATATATAGTCTAACTATTGCATACTAAGCGTCAAAACGTACATAGGAAAGAACCCGAGAGAAGCGAGGGCTAGTCGCTAGTGCTATAATAAAATGAAGAATTTATATTTTTTTATACTAACTTACGATAGATTCAAGCCCGTATGCATGAGATATATATATATATATATATATATATATATATATATATAAATTCGTATATAAAATAAAATATGAAAACATAGTTAAGTATTAGATACATAAAGAATAGAACTAAGCATCAATAATTTTTTTTAATTTTCCTTATATTAGGGGATCGAATAAATTTTAATCAATCTTAAAAGAGACACGTGTATAGAGGATCTACTAAAACCTTTAAGCTTCGTCTCATTCGATTCCTTCCGTCTTATTGAAATAGACATTATTATCGATACAGAGACCGAATCTATAGTTTTTAGAATTTTTGTCTGTGTGGTCTGTCTGTTACCGCATCACAGAAAAACACTGTAGGGATTTTGATGAAATTTGGTATGATGATGCTGGTTATCCGGGTCAACATATAGAATACTTTTTACCGCGGGAAAATATCTCATTTTTGAGAAAAAATACAAAAACTGCAATGTAAGAGTATACTAATATGTAAAACCTAAGAATTTTGTTTTTGGTCACCTGAACGCGGGCAATGCTGGTATACTATAATTCTCATACTAAAACTTCCTTGTATAATCATTAGGCAAGACCTAGCGTTGATGAATCAGTCAAAAAAAGCAGCTATATTAAGATTTAAATATAGTCATATAAGTCTGTGTATAAAATGCTTTTATAACCAAATACTTTGCTTGAATGCACTAATAATTCAAAATATATGCACAATGTACACTACACGCAAATCCGCATAAATAATCTTGAAAGTATATTTAGAGGACTTTCAGGTTACATAAAACTTTATTTAAGACGTTCTAGTTAATTTCGTTCATGTTACGTCTCAAAAATGATGAGATTTTTTTTTGTCAATAACATTATTAAAATTTCGATAAATAGATATATTCGTAAGTGATGTATTTGCAAAGAAATCCAAATAGATCCTATGATTAAAAAAAAATGGTATGATTTTGTTATATAGAAAAACTAGCGAGTCGCCCTCGCTTCACTCGGGTTTGTCCCTAGCTTGCTTCCCCATACAAACTTTCATCCCCATTTTCACCCCCTTAAGGGATGATTTCCGGGATAAAAAGTATCCTATGTCCTTCCCAGGGTCTCAAACGACGACAAATTGACGACACGTTTGGTTCAGTTTGTAGTGGCCCTACTTTCTATGCCGGCGGTCGCGGGTTCGAGTCCCCTTGGGGGCATTCATTTGTGTGATGACGAAGGTTTGTACTCCAGTCATGGGTGTTTATATTTATAATATGTATGTATTTAAAGTTATATATGTGTAGTGTATCAACTAGGTATGTATGTGGTATCTATGACACAAGCCTCATAGCTTACCATGGAACCAGATGGTGCTGTCTGTTAATGTCCCATATTGCTTGTATATCTAACAACTAACAAGTAAACATCACCTGCCTTTTGCAAAACCATTTATAAACTAAACTTTTATTATGAATATAATAAAATATATAATTTCACATATAAAGCCCCGGGGAGGAGTCCAAGCGGCCGCTCATATTTCTGGTAATCTTAATTAATTGCCTCTCGGGCTGGCCTGAGGTCGTTGCCTAGCAACGAGGGTGCTCCCGACAGAGTGCCGAGACTCTCGTATATGATGTTACACTTGACCTTTATTGATTTAGGAATCAGGTTTTATTTAAGGGCATTTAGTTAATTGTAGACCAATTTCATTCTTATTATCACTTTTGAAACCTACATTATATTATGTTTTAAACGATTCATACGTTCAGGAATCATGACTCCAATGCAAAACGAAATAAATGGAAATTTGGCTTGAATTATGTCTTTGCGCCTATAAATATAACTGGCACTAAAGTTATTTTTCCACAGAAACGTCTAGAACAGTCGACAATGGGAACAGCTGATTCGCTCATCCGGGCTCAAGGTCCCCTAGGCCGAGGTTGCCACCCTCCGCCGCCCGCGAGGGTTGAGAGGTGAATACTCGCCATTTGCCACCCCTACGTTAGGGCGGGAGCGAAAATTCAATATATTTTGATTAAAAGCGAAAAAAGACGAGAAATTAAGCAAAACTAATGTAAAACGC